CAAACAGAACTACTAACAAGATACCGTAAAATGGGGTCCATATTGGGAAATTTTTCATAGTATCAATTCACCTCTTCTGTCCCTATTCACCCCATTTTAGCGTTATCCAAACAAATTGTTGGTTTGTGAATAAAATCAAGTATTTTAGTCATAAATTTACGTTTCGTATAGTTGCTATTCTTCTATTAATTTCAGAAGTAATCAATAATGAAGTAATTAAAATTTTGCTCTTTTTTATCAACAGTTGTATGTATACTAACATACTTTTTACTGGCACATCTCAAGCCTAAAGCTTCTTTACTAACAAAAAAGGTCCTCATATTTTAGAATATTACGTTTGATATACGAAAAAATCAGTAAGTAGACATATATTTACAAAAAAAATACTATTTAGAACTTGGGTGAACTCATTTCTGGTATTTAAGTTATATTTTTATCAAAATATGACAGTTGTAACTCAAAAAGGGGGTTTGAGGGAGGGCATTTTAAAAGACAGACACATAACTCCGACGCGATACACTTTTATTTCAAATTAAATAGCATTCGCGTATAATTAAAAGACATATTTATTATCACATTTACAATACAATTCTTGACAAATTCCGTTTTCTTTCTCCACATAGGTACCTCTGACCACTTGAGCCAATGTTCCCAAGATACAAAGGGACGCCTTTATTTACATTTTAAGTTCACACTTGAATTTCTTCGATAACATTAAGTAATTATTGCTTTCTTATAAATTCAAGCTTTGTAAACAATCACTGAATATGTTACATACATTTGTTTTTGAACTGAATAAGCGATCTTAATCAAAATTCAGCAGATATGTTCCGTTTTTGACATTACTTGAAGGGAGTTGCAGTCAAAACACGGTCTAAATCCACAGATTTTCGAATGAGAACGGTATTTTGGCAAGAACGTTGGAAAAAAGGCGGACATAGTCTCTTGAAACAACGCCTGTGGCAACTGGCTACTAACAACTTACACGCAGAATACACACACATTGACACAAAGAACATCTGTCGTGTGACATGGCCCGTAATTACACTTCATACATTACGGTGTTGCAAGTACACGCACATATAAATACATCACTGATATTATGGTGCTTCAATCATTTGCAAATGACATAACGTCCGTCTTTTTTTCAACATCCTTTAATTTTGAGCGTTAATCGATCTAGATTTTTGTTAGATATAATAGAACTAATGTCCAAAATCATTTTTAGTCATATTTCGGATTGAAATCGGTTATCATTTCGGTCGCACGATCAACAAAATTTATAGTTACATTTTTTGGCCTGGTATCAACTTGGTCGCGCAACTTGTTATTGGCAACCAAGTCGACACATGTTGCGCAACTTATCGCTTTACGACTTAAAGAAATCAGTAAGCCACAATCATGCATTGAAGGTATGATTAACATATTTAGAGATCATTTAATAAGTGATTTTACACTACAAGCTAGATTTAAAGGCGTGTATTCTTTTAGTACATTTAATTCCCATGAGTTCACCCAAAATCCTTCGCTAGTAAACAACCGGTCGGTTTGATTTCAAACTCTTCTTGTCACGGCAAACCGTTGAGTATTGCATATTATATTATTTCGTATAAACACTATTTTGTAAGCTTGTGCTGTAGTTTTTGTAAAATTAACCTTTATTTATAAAAAAAATAATTATTGGGTAGTTTCCGAGTAGTCAAATTGAATAATTATGTTTTTTTTTCTATGTATGGATGAGAAAACGTCAAAAATTACAATTTTCTTTGCGAGTTCACGTCATACTTTAAAAATTATAACTGAAAAATCTTTTATAAAGTATATCGTCAAGGTCAATGAATAAAAGTGTGATCTCTTTTGAAATATTCTTTGAAACAATTCGTTTTGACTAAGAAAATTACCCAATTACATACAGTATGTGAAAAATATGGTCCTACCTTCCTCTTTAATATCTAGCATTGATATAATATGAAATTTGAACACTATCTACATTGAATTAGACTACAAACTATGGACTTTATGCTAATGTTTGGTCTGTGTCATGTTAACTGAATATGATCACTATAGCCTATGTTTATAAGGTTAATTTTACAAAGAACTACAGAATTTAATGTAAGTATATATTGTAGAAAGCTTCGGCTACCACAACGTTTCGTTTATGTTTTGATTTTAATCTGTTTCTAGTCCAGTCTTTGAATAGATTTGGGAATTAAGTTTTACTGTCAATTTGAAGTAAAATAATATCAGAACTAAAGGCACTTTAGTACATCAAAACTTATTTATGATTTTATCTGTTGGATGAAAGATGATGCTTTTGTCAGCCAACAAAAAAAAAACATTGTTCGTCAGTATATTCAACAGTAATTTATAATTATATTTTGTATATTATTAGCTAAGCGATTATCATCATAAGACAGATGAAATATACGTTCCTTATAGGGCACAGGTTGTCGCGCAAGCCGATTATAAGAGTCTAGGATTGTTTGATATTTTTTCGCAGTTACAGCTCATTAAAAAAACTGGACTAAAAACATTTTAAATGAAAGGGTACCATTATAAAATGAACTTACGTATAGATATATGTTTACAACCATTATACACCTGAATGAAAACATTTATATCACATTTTTCGCATAATTATATTAAGAAACTTGGCCGATGTTTTGCTATAATGTTATTGTTATTCTTTTTTTTAACCGTTTTATATATATTTATACAAAAATTACTTTTCCTTCCTTGTGTTTCCATAAATACAATTTGACTAAATTGGAGCGTGTTCAGACTGTGGGATTGTAGTGCAACTGTTGAGCAACTAATCGCCCAACTTTAATAAGCATGTATTGAATTTGAACTTCATTACAAAAATAACAGTGATACATATAATTTACCACCCACCAAAGGTTATAAAATCATAAATAGACCCGTGATTACATTATAATTGTCTAAATTACCCGTTTTATGAGTGGGAAAAAATGCGTAAACACGTTTTTAGCGAGCCCAAAATAGTGGTAAAATAAAGCTGACCCATATAATTACTATATGGTTATCATAGTCGATAAAATCCCCAATTTTTCTTCAAAATCTAAACACGCTCTTTGTTCGAACGGGCGGTACGTTATTCCGTAGTACAACGTTCCAGGTGCGAAGGCTAGTCAACCTAGACACATCAAAATAATACGTTTTATTTACTATTTACACTTACAGCGACCTAGCCTTACGGGAAAATAATAACAATTACTTCTCTATAACAAATCGCTAGATACTAAAAAATAAAAAAAAATCGGGCTGTTGACGTGTCGGGCGACTTTTTCGGCGATTTGTCGCGCGATTGTAAATTTCGGTTATATGTTAGTACAATGGCAATACAGTATATATAAAACGCTACGTTCTCTAACAAAAACACACTTTAAATATTATTCGTTTATCGGTCTTAAATATCAGCCCAAATTATGAAGCTCAAAGGCTTCAGTGATAGAAAATAAAGACGAAAAAATTTGAAATAAAACCCAAACTAATTTCCTAATTAATCATTAAGCTCCGTTATAATAACATCTTAAAATTACAATTAAAAGGGAACCAATTATAACTATGATATTTATTTTTATAATTACTTGTACAAAATATTCTTACACTTGCTCAATTTTACACTAAATGCGAAACAACACAAACTTACGGACTATTCGTTAAATTTACAGTATTAGAAGGACGAGTCGCACGAAAAAGTCGCGGCCTTAATCGCCGGTGTGCAACAACCCTAAAATGATACTAAATTAATTAAAATTTCACAATTGTCTACCTAACAAAGTCTTAAGCTAAACTTTCTGATATCCTATACATCGCTTTTGCTTTTAAATTATTATTTATTTCTCAATTCATTCTCCCAATCACACGTGGCTACGTCATCATGTTTTTGTTTTGTATTTTTCTTTTTTAATTAATTTTTTTAACACCTAATCAGAATTATTCATAAGAATCGTCATATACATAAAGTAAGCATTCTATCGTAGAGTATCGATATATATAGTATAATAAATTTATCGACACTGCAACAATGTGGATCTTAGTGACACCTGCATTTAAAGATGTCTTATTTTTGATTCGGGTAAGATCGGGTTCCACGAAGTTTGCCGATGTCACTGAGCCCGCATCGCACGATAAGTATGGGCCAGCCAGAAATAGGAAAAAAAATACTATAAGAGTCTAGGCAGGCCCTAATTACCTACAAAATATACACTTACATATAAATTATTTCAAAAAAAATCTCACCATTTTACAAACAACAGTCAGTATCGACAGTCAACCGGAAAATTACGTTTTTTTGTCAGTTTTGTTTCCGATTTTTTTTAGTTCGGCAATTTTCGGTTGGCTGCCGATTTTACGTCGAAAAGGGAGGTATATTAGTGTCAGATTAGGCGTGTAAAGTGTTAAATAGCACTTGAACTAGAAAAGTGGACTATACCTCTCCAGCGTAGATTAGAAGTCAGTGTCATTACTTAAAAGGTATGATTATTCTATTTTACATTGTTTAGGTGATTGTATCTGCTAAACTGACACTCATACACGTTTAATATCAAGCCCATTCAATCCCAATATGGTGGGAACGGCGTCAAAAGCCGTTTTATTAGTGTAGCTAGCAACCCCGCACCTAAATCCCGCCACGAACATCACGGTTTTGGCTCTAAAAAATCAGTCTATTACAAAACTACGACACAACCGCGCAGGTTTTATTTACAACGTTATCCCGATAAACAAAACTACATACTGGCTTCAAACACAGCTGTGACGTGTGACGAGGCGCCCGTGATTTGAATTTTAAAAAAAGAATCACAAGCAGAGCCAAAACCGTGCGTCTAGAAACAAGAAGAGTAGAAAAAAAAAAGTTAAACAGTGAAAAATAAAAACGTTAACCGTAGTTACACTACACTATTGAGGTCCGATAGTTGATGCTTGAGAAACGTCGACACACGAAGCTACCGTGGGCTTGGCTCTGTACTGTGACGTCACTTGCCCACGTGACCGTTGCCCAACGCCGGCTCGACGACCTGGAAACCGTACGACGAGTTGAGCGCACAGCCGTGTGTCGTCGTTCCTAATGAGGCTGCAAGGTTCACGCACAGCGATGGGCCGTTTATATCAAACTAACATATCAGTACAAAACTCGGTACTAATTAGGAGAAAAAACTACGGAAAATAGTGAAAAATAAAACGTTTGAACCCCACCGCTGTGTGTTTCTTTTATACACATCCACAGCTCGGTTTGTTATACCAACGTCTAACTGAAATCTATTACATACTCTTAGAAAAACGGGTCCAAATATACGAGTAAATTTTACAAGCAACAATATTCAAAAAATGCGAAAAACGTACAAATTCCATGAGAGATGTTAGTACAGACTTTTTTCGCACTTTCGATATTGTCACAGTAAAGAAATACTCATATACAGGGGACATAAATCTTAGAGTATGTATAGAGTCCATGGCGTTGGTATTAACTGATCCGAATTGTCATGTGCCTCCCGCCACCAGGGTATTTAGAAAGCGAGGGTACCCAGCAAATAATGTGCGTTTGCAACCCAACGTAGACTTTTTCAAAGTGTGCGTTATATTTTGAAAAAGTCCTGAGCCCCAGGAGGTCACGATATACACAGCTGCGCGCAAGCTATCATTTAGCTGTTACATTTAAACATCAAATCAGTTTTAGAGCGTATTTGTAAAAAATTGCACGAGTGGCGCGAGTGTTGGGGAACTGTTGCGCGACTGTTGCCCAACAATCATACAATCGGCATGCTATGACAAAAAAGTAAAGTGAATTTAATGTTCACAAATACGCCAAAACTGTACAAAAAATGCCGTCAGACATTTGTCAAGTGTTGTTCAAGTCTTTCGGCTGAAAAAAAGTCGACAAAAAGTTTACATTGTCGGCAACAAAATAAAATAAAAAAAAGGAATACACAGAAAATACTTCATCATACATTTCCTATACACGCATAGAGATGTACAAAAAATGTCATAAAAAACGTCTCCATTTCCAAAAAATTAGAATAAAAATATACAAAAACAACAAATTCATGATAAAATGACAAATCAATGTTCCGTGACCGACCATTTTATCTAAAAATCTACAAAATGACAATAAAAAAGCAAAAATTAAAACAGAAATCAGAGACAACAAGAGAAAAAGATACAAAAAAATAAAAAAGTCGCTAGAAAAAAAATATAACAGCTAAATAATAGTTTGAAAAAAGGTGCCATTTGACAGACCAGGTGTAATGATAAAAACGTCAAAGCATCATCATGCATTAAAAACTAAATTAATACATTATTTTCCGTTACAAATCTATTTAAAAATGTATAGTTTCCTTAGTCAAAAACAAATTACGTCATGAAAAAAAATCATACTTTCATTGATTGAATTTTAGATTTTATGTAACTAATATTTAAAAACAAGTTTCTATTTGACGCGCAAATATTATTACGTCACAAGTTATTTCATACGACATTCATAGAAAAACATCGTTTTTGACATTTCGTTAAGTGTATTGAATTTGACTATTAGGAAACTGCCGCAGAACCACTCGCTTAGTATCAAAATATCGACAAATGGAGTTGAAATAATACTATATTTCAATTTTTATTATATTAAACACTAGAAACATTAAGTCCTTTATAAATTACTGTTTTTTATTAGGACTTGCTTATATTTTTAATTAATTTTAATAATTTTTTTGTTGAATTTTGACACTATTTGAGTGGGATATGCGGTATTTTCATCTTTGTTTGCGCCTTTTATACTATTATATTTTCATTGAAATTGTAATATAAAGGAGGTTTTGCAAGGCAGTGTGTATTTCTTTATGTAAAGTTAATAAATTTCATAATTTTTTAAGTTATTTTTAGATTTTCTCACATATAAAATATTTATTTTTGTATTTTGTAATAAAAGAGGTTAAATTAGATTTAAAAACTGCCTTTTTGATGTATATATTAGTGTTCTGGTTCATTTATATTCAAATAAAATGCAAAACTCTTCAAATTACGAAATCATACTTTTTAATTAAATAAAAAATCGTTTTGAAAACAATAAATTCGATAGATTCAACTTACACTAAAATGATTTAATTAATAACTAGTTTACAAAAACAACTATGTATGAAATTCTTTATGGTAATCTCAGTTTTGTTAAGACATACATCGACACAACCACGTTAGAAACAAAAACGATATATAAAAAAATAATTTGTTTCAGATTTTTTATTCAAAAGTCATTAGATTTATAGAGTATTACTAAATTATGTCAAAAACTAATTATGTCAATATTTCTTCTGTAATTCAAGTTCTTTTTGTAATTAAACTTTATACTTATAAATTAAGTAACTTATATTTTATATATAATGATTTTTAAGTACTTTTAGGAGTCAATAAGTGTCGATTTACGGCTTAAACTTAAAAAAAACTAAACTATCAACTTTACAAACACCATGTCACAGCTCCCTAATATACCATTCGACAAAACTTAAAATATTTTTCAAAAACTGATTTATATTATAAATCAGAATCGATTTAAACTATGTACTTATAAACAACACATGAAATGATTATTCAAGATTTCAAGAAAACAATTTTTGGAAGATATTGATCGATTTACGGACTAATAATAGAAAATATTTATAAATATAATCTATTATTACCATAAATCTGTATATAAAAATATAAAAAAGTTACAACTTAAAATAGTTTTAGCCTCTAAGATCTTAAAATAACTATAAAAATGAATGAGGTGATTTTGTTTCAAATTATAGAAATTATGTATCTTAATAATCACTGCATACCGTCACATAGTGATTCGAACTAGCATTATAATATAACTATATAATTATACAACACATTCTAAACTATACAACAAACTATAAACATACACAAGTATAACAACTTGTCATTTATAAAAATGAACAAGTTTTAAGTACTTTGCTTTGAAAATATATCAAAAATATAAGTTTTTTTTATATTTTATATAATTATGATAATATTAACTCTAATATAGTAAAAAATGGTAACAGCAATGGCACCATAATCAGATGTTTTCTTTTTTTTATTTACAAAATTTACAATAAAAATATAAAAATATATATACAACTGTTTTAGTACATAGGTGTTAGACTAAGAAAAAAAAATGAGGTACTTTATTGTGAACACGTTAAGTGTTAAAAAAACATGTTTTACTTTTAGTACCTAATTTGTTATTATTTACATAACATCACGCCTTTTATCCCCGAAGGGGTAGGCAGAGGTGCACATAGAAGTAACACCCACTTTTCACTATTTATGTTATGAGTCCCATGTAATAGGGGGTGAGCCTATTGCCATATACCGGGCACATTTCCAGACTCCGTGCTACTACTGAGATTTTTAAAAAACCCCAGTAATACTTTGCCCGACCCGGGAATCGAACCCGAGACCCCTTGCCCGGCAGTCGCACTTGCGACCACTCGGCCAATGAGGCAGTATTGTTATTATTTGAAAGTATAATAAACTGAAACTAAATAACGACTATAATATGTTGACTATGACTTAAATAGAATTTCTATTTAAGTCATAGTCAACATGTATCGAGACTAATATGACTGTGTTTTAAATTCTGATTTGTATTTTTGTATTGTATGCCTCAATGGCGGAACTTATTTTAATTACTTAAGACTTGCAGCTGTATCCAAATGCCGTTTAGCGCTTGTCTACTTGTAGAGTAGAAAACTAAATTATATGGAATTGACGTAAACTTTGACACTTGTCAGTGTCATCCCCATACATTTTGATTTCTACTCTCTCTGTAGACAAGCGCTAAAATGGCATTTCGCTAAAGGCACTGTATTTATGATGCATGCCTAATTACCTATATAGTTCACAATGAAGACAATTTGATGTGACCATAACTATTGTATAATTTATTCACCAATGAATTTTCGCTAGATATATAATGAATTCTATAATACAATGTAATCCAACACAGTGAAAATCGACTATTATATTACAATTTCTATGTACGAAAACATTTGTATAATAACAACAACAATTCCATAATACTCGCTTTAAATGAAAAGCTCAAGATTACGGACTATTAAACATTAAACCCTGTGAAAGTTTTTTTTTTAGTTTTTTGATCATGTTCTGAGCAAGCGATTCTATATAAGGTGTAAACGGAACGCCCGAAAAACGCCGACAGGCAACGGTGAAAAACAAGATAAATTTTCATATAAGTAAGGAATTAAATGATTCTTTGACATAAAAGAAAGCTTGATAGATGATTACAAGTATGTCTTTACCATTCACGGGACCACAGGGTACCGGTCATTTGGGAGGCGTACGAGGGGCCGAAGCCAACTGCGCAGAGGCCCTTTAGACAACTTTAATCTAAATGTAATGTACACACAAACCGGTGATTACAAATACGATTATGTAATAATGGTTGTAATTGACGGCTCAAGGCTAACACGAAAACAAAAACAATTAAAATTGTTAAACAATTTCTTTTTGTCAGCGTTTCGATAGCGTTCCGTATCCACACTGTACATAGTTCTTATAGCACTAAATAAATTTTAGGAGTAACATGTCAATCTAATATATTATTAAATTAAAGCTGAAATGGTATGTTTTCAGATGTTTTCTAAAATTATAATTATTTATGTGAAGCAGTATAAATTTATAATATATAAATAAAATTTGCTATATTTTTTTTATAAATATAAATCTATATCAACATGTCAAAATGTTATTGGAATATATGGTATATAAGTCTGTTCTGGAATGTTATTTTATAGAAAATAACTATAATTTTCTACATAAAATAGTCAAAGTGCCTTAACTATAAATGTCACATATTATAGTGATGTAAATAGGAATATGTAAATATATTTTAAATTTTTGATAAATATTTAAAAAAACTAGCTTTAAAGCGATTTGGAATAGCAAAAAGCTTGTATTTACAAAATATAATGTACTTTAGCAAACACGAATATTACTTTAACACTTTTTAAATATATTTTTTATAATTTTACTATCTATATATTATTTGGAGATCTGATATAATATAATTTATATAATATTGTATAATTTACATATATATATAAAAATACACGTATATATTGGCCCTGTAAATATGATGTGAAGTCCTATATTTTGTACGTAAGTTATATTCAGAAGTTCTAATTATACGATGATTTTAAGCATGTATACATAAATTACTTTCAAGAGTTTTAATTTATTTATATTAAGTACTGATTGGGCTATAATATCTGTGATTATAAAAATTCTTTACCACTAATAGAAGTCATTGGGGGAGGCCTATGTTCAGCAGTGATGTGTTTTATATATGATTGTTGGTATATTGTACAAATAATTTATGAGTGATAGAATCAACGGAATTCTATGATATTTATATTGAGTTTCGGCTAATAATAACTATATTAGGTTCAGACTAAGTTTTAGTTAACAAGTAACTAGGAGACAGCGAAAACTTGCATATTTTCTTCTATTTTATCTTTATTACGATACCGTAATACTGAGTTATATAAAACGGCTAACTACCGCCCCTAGGTACATCTGACTGGGCGGATTTTTCGGATTATCGGAAGCCCAATTACCCCCAATCTACCGAATCCACAACAATCCTCAAATTTCTAATCCCGAAAAGACTGGTAACGCACTTGTAACACCTCTGGTGTTGCGGGTGTCCATGAGCGACGCGGATACCATTAGGTGATACGTCTACTCGTTTACCGGCTTAATCCATAAAAAAGGGACAAAGAAAAATATTATAAGAAACATCACTAAGTAGTATAAAACAAAGTCATTTTCCGCGTTTGATGAGGTTTTTCTTTAATAGATAGTGATTCAAGGAGAAGCTTTATATGTTAATTTCGAATTTAACGCGTTCAAAGCCGCGGTCAAAAGATAATTATTGATACTATATAGTCTAAGATTGTAGGTCCATTAAAATATCGGAAAATAAATATTAAAATAAAAAAAATGACTGAAGTACTTTTCCAATCAATTTTGATAAGTAAAACCAACCGGTAAAGTGCAAGCAAAATTAAACCTAAAAGTGGTAAAGTAACTTTACAATCACAAACTATATGGGTTACGATTAAACCATTGTATAGAAAATATAAAGAACGATAAAGACTACATTTCTGTGATAAAAACTTTTGTAAATAGTTGCCTTAAAGACATTTTAGTTAGGCTAATTTGGCAACTTTGTTTGTTGGTTTGGTTGCCATGGTTACAGTTGGTTTAGAAAATTATTAAACTGCGAATAGAATTGTCTTATAAAGAGTTCGTAATAGTGAAATAATTGAATTATAGACAGCAAATATGAAACTCCTTGATAGAAATTAGAACATGAGGTATTTGTGACAGTGACAATCATTTTGGTAAAATAAATGACATAAATATTTTAGAAATTTTTCATACTCACTGGAATAGGAAGACAAATGTTTTAAATAAACTCGTACATAATCACCTGATATAAATCCCCAATTTGTTCATACAAAAGTAGTCTCTAAACATCGGAAATAAGGTCTATAATGGAGTTATTGGAGAGCGGTCACCGGTGCCCGCTTAGGGATTGATCAGTAAAGACGATATTAGTAGCATGATAGACTGAAATAAGGTCTGATAAGTAGAACAAAGTACAGAATTTTTCTTAAATGAAATTATTTTATAGAAAAAAAAGTATAATTCCATCCCAACTATAACCACGGCACTTTTACCTAAGTCTCATCGATAGCACGAGTTGAACACTTTAATTCACCATTGAACTATAAATCAATTAAATTCAATATCTAAAATATTTACAAATCAACTTAGTATAAAGAAAAAGTCTTCTTTTTGACACAAATTACTATTAAAACTAACCACTTCCCATATAAAAATTGCATACAGGTCTAAAGTGAATCACATTTCAGTTAAATTACCCTTATTGGTTAATAACTGGCTGTTACGTTAAAGCGATTGGAACATTACCACGTTTAGCCCACTGATTGGTTAGGTAAATGGTGTAGCCAATCAGAGCGCCGAACGTCATAAATGAGTCGATGCGTTAACGTAAAACAAAATCGCATTAGGCACTCTGATTTGTGATTGACTGACCAATGAGAAAAGCTTGATAGAAGCTGAGGAGTTCACCGTCAAGATGATTTCAGTCTTTTATTATTACAAAATTGATTTATTGGCAAAAGGGGTAAATGCAGATCAAAAATTTTAGGGTATTTTGGATATAGTTTTCAAACAGAATTAGGTACACCTGACGATAAACAAAACAGCTTAACAAGGTGAACTAGCGATAAAAACTACTTATAACTAGATTGTGACATTACTCTGGAGGGGGAGGGGGTACAGGGGGCGGAGGCATCGCGGGTAGGGGAGGCTGTGGGGGTTGCGGGGGCGCGGCGCGGGGCGGGGGCGCAGAGTACATGCCGTAGTAGTAGCTGTCAAGCGGCACGCCGAAGTAGAGCGGCGGCGGCGGCTGCACCATATAGTATGGCAGCGGCGGCCGGAACGCGCCTGTGGGGACACGGACATTCCACGAGGGGCCTACCTTGTGCGGCGCTCCGTTGTGGCGCGCCATCTTGTGCGGGGGCCCGGCCGTAGGCCCGGCGGCCGGCGGGGGCCCGCGCTTGCGGGACGCGTCCAGCACGTCGCGCGAGATCTTGATCTTGAGGCTCGACGACTGCGCCGGCGGCGGGGGCGGCGCCGCCAGCCGCTCCTTCGGGATCTTGATCTTAAGTCCCGGGCTCGTCGACAACTTCTCCTTGGGTATAGTTATCCTCAGCGCTCCGTCCTGCTGCGTCTCCGCCGGTGGGGGCGGGGGACTCTCTTTCCGCTTCTCCTTATCCTTTTTATGTTTCTTTCTCTCCTCCTTAGATTTGTCACGGTCTTTGTGTTTGTGTTTGTCCTTTTTCTTTTTCTCTTTCTTATGTCTGTGTTCCGGGAGTTCTTCAGCGGGTTGAGGGGGAGGTTCTATGACTACGGGTGGTGGTGGCGCGGGGGCCGGGGCGGGAGCGGGTGGAGGCTCTGGCGGGGGCTCGCGCTTTACTTCAGGGGACTTGCGCTCCGTCGCTACTGTAATGGGCGCGGGCTTGGCGAGACTTTCCTTTAGTAAGTTAGACACGAGTGTGGGATCGGTTTCGATACCATTCACTGGCCTGGCCGGCGCTTCAGGTTTGCGTTCTGGAGCCCTATTTTTGATCGCCGAGATCGCCGTCCCTCTCTGCGAGTCCCGTATAACATTCTCATAACCGGGTGTCTCGTCAATTTTCTTGACGACTGGCACGAGCTCTGGCTCCGAAGAGCTGGACTGTTGTCTTTGCCTCGGCTGTTTGAGTTGCTCTTTAGTGGGGGGTGAGGAGAAGGGGGAGAGTATAGCGGGAGGTTGCATTTCTCTGATGGCTGTGGTGGGGTCTGGCCTCTTCCTGTGTGGAGAGGGCGGCCTCTGTTCTTGTGTTTGTATGGGGGGTTGGGAAACAGGGGGTGCGGGGGGTGGCGTGGGCCGCACTTCGGGTTTGGGTCGATGTGCAGGGGGTGCCTGGGGTTGTGGTTGTGGCTGGGGCCTGCGCGGGGCGGCCGCAGCAGCCGCGGTGGGTGTGGTCGCATTCTCAGGCGAGAATAATGAAGGGGGACGCGTTCTTTGAGGAACCACTTCTGGTTGTGAGGGGGGAGGGTGTGAGGACGCCGTTGTGGCTGTGGCAGTCACTGTGGAAGTAGAAGGCCCCGGTATAGGAGGCCGATGGTGTCTGTGGTCGTGGGGGGGTTTCTGATGGTGGGGTTTGTGGGGGGGCCAGGGATGATGTTGTTTGTGGTGGTGTTGGCTGGACGGTCGGTGGTGGGGAGGGGGTTGTTGAGCATTTGGCCTGGGCTGTGGGGCTCCAGGCCTGGCCTGTTGTTGCTGTTGTTGCAAGGCTTGTTGCCTTCTCTCTCTCTCCTCCCGCCTCTCCCGTTCTTCCCTCTCCCTTTTCTCCCTGTACAGGTTATAGTCTATTCTCTGTGGTTGTGGCTGTGGTGGCGCTGCTGTCGTTGCAGGTACATAGCCACCGGGGACCGGTTGACGTCTTCTTTCTCTTTCATATTCTGTTGACAAAAGTGTTCATGAAATACCTATACAAATATTGTCTCGGAAGGGACTTTTATAGACACCTATAGTTAAAGTCAAAATTAAAGAAAAATGGCTCCATATTGATCACAATGAATAATTAAGTAGGTATCAATAAGTCATTACCATAAAATAATAACTTGTGATCTTTTCACTCCAGAATGTAGATTGCTATGAAAAAGAACGAGCAAGAGACTCCATGGGAGTATAACATAAAAATCAAACAAAGGAAAATAATCTAAAACACAACAGCATAAGCTTCAAAATACCAAAACGTACCTTTGTCAAAGGATTTGTCAATATCATCTGCGCTGGACGGATGCTTCTTGTCAAACGGTGAGTTCGCTACGCCCGAGCCGGACGCGTTTGGCAACGAGTGCGGCGAACTTCCGTCTGCTGTAAGTGTTAAAATATAATTATTACTTAATTCTTGCTCATTTTTAAAGTGGGAAAAATCGTCCATTGTATACATTCCCGCCTCGGGTAAAGCAAGAGGAAATATCAGACTCTTACTAACCAAAAACCACACTGTTCCTACTCCTACTTCGAGACGGAGCCCCGGTAACGCTTGGCAGACTAGTAATACATTTACCCCGCAGGGGTCGGTATGAACCGACAAACAGCCGTAAGGGATTACTCATTTTACAGAAACTAAACAACACCACTTTATTTTAAACCTGAACTTTTTTTAAACTTCAACAAATATGTTCAGTTGCAGAATAAAAAATATTTCTAATCATTTTTCTCCTGTTTCTAGGTTCAAGATTAGCACGCAGGCAGGAATTGTGGCTAATATATGACTATTACATCGGACATATAACTTAACTGGCGATAATTGGGTAAACACATGGCTACACAGGCTATGCAAAACCAGTATAAACTAAGCGTCGAATGTCAGGAAATATCGTACAACACGAGACCACGATGAACTGGTTTTATATAACTCAATGTGTAATTGGGTACTTGCCAACTAGTCAAATTCAATACTTTTTTCAAACTGTCAAAAACGATAGTTTTCTATGAATTTTGTACGAGATTGTGTATTGTGACGTCATGTTTTTATAGGGTCAAACAGCTTACTTCTTTATTAAAAATTTGCTGGAAAAATACTAAAATTAATTGGGTCATAAAATCAATTACATTTTATTGTATTGAACAGTCGAAATAATTTATTTTTGATTAAGGCAAGTACCCAATTGTACGTTTGGCATTATACGCACAAAAAATGATATTTTTTGACCTACTTACCAGCTTTAACATTCATCATCTTCCTTTTAAGTCTTGAAGGACATTTCTCGAAGATAAGTAGGAACTCAGCGGTCAGTTTCTCCAAGAGGTCCGTGGTCACTGACCGGTCAACGTAGGAGAACCAATGACGACCCTCGTTTGACTGTGGTATCTGTTTGTACCGGGATTGTTTTATATAATGATAATTTACTTGTTTTAGGTACAAACTAGCGGACAAGACGAATCAACGGATGGTAAGCAATCGCAATACCAGAAAAGGTTTTCAGAGCTGAAGTGTTACAGATTGATGCAGAATAAATGCTATATAAAATTGTATCAGAGTTCTAGTGGATATAAAACGATAGGTACGCCATCTATTAGCCGGGACTGTTAATAAAACTAATTTAAATAATATTATTTCTAGCGGTATTCTTGTTTATTATCATCGTCATCAAATAGTATACCGTGCCTACAAAATTCTTGAATACAATAATATTATATGGTAAAAAGGTAAAGAAAGGGTAGCTAAACAACATTCGATCTTCGGAAACGGCACACTAACGCACCCATGAATATGCTGACACCGCTACACAACCCTTCAAGTAAGATATTGCCAATACGGTAGTTGCCAGGGTATTTAAATTAAAAATCTAATTAGTCCGTCAGTTAGATAATGAAAGAAAAATAAGCCAAACGATTTTTTTATTTTCTCGTATAAATTTACAATACTTAGATAAACTGGCGTTAAGTTTAGGAGTGGGAGGTCGTTACGTCACAAAGTGCTATAAAATGTTACACGCTGTGACGTCACACGATATTTCAAATTAATATATCGTCGAAAGTATTTGATTTTGTGAGAAAGGAAAAACTACGTGTTATAAATAAATCTACCAGACGGACATATTAAGGTACCACTTTCTGAGCACTTACAACCTATCTAGATCTACACCTTTTTACTTATAACATCATTGCCTGAATACATAATACCTGAAAATTCAAAATTAAAAAAAAATCTAGAAAAAAGGAATCTCTACTTACCGCCCAGTTGCTCCATTTTGAGGCTAAATGTATACAAAAACATGCGACGACCGTTGGTCTGTACTGTAGGCACATTGTCGTCAAATGCAGACTGTTTGACGCCATAAAGTAAGATGTCTGGGCAAGATCCTTAGGCGCTGTGGATAAAGACATCACATAATCAGTGATTGTAGTCGATTTCCGATGTGAGGTGCGAATTTGAAGGTTATTTTCATGTTGGTTTTGGGTTTAAATTAGGTTGAGTATAAATATCGCTACGGAAAAGTTGAAAAATGTATTAAAATACTGCCCTTGTTTAAGAAAACGTTACTATTTGGAAATAATAAACCTGATCTATATCCAAAACCAATATAAAATATCCATATTATACAAACATGTTTCATTCATATTACATTTGATGGAATCAGCTAAATATTTTAACAAGCACACATAGGTAATGGTTGAAAACTACGTAATTATAGTTTTTAATTTCAGTCAATGAAAGTAATTTCTATAGACAATGTACAATCGACAAAATTGATTAGTAACCAGGGCCTCTAGCCAAAAGCCACTTTAGCGCTTGTCTACAGTGAGAGTAGAAATCAAAATGTATGGGGATGACACTGACAAGTGTCAAAATTTACGTCAATTCCATACATTTTGATTTCTACTCTCACTGTAGACAAGCGCTAAAGTGGCTTTTGGCTAGAGGCCCAGGTAAGCATAGCAACTTCTAGATTATTATACCCGTTAATGTTAATACGTTGATATATATTTAAATATGATGTACAAAAGTAGTCAGAAAAAGGTATACATATAATGAAGTTATAGTTGCTAATCTCATTTGTAGATTGTACAATTGGCAATCCACTAAGAATAAGAACAGCATTATATTGTTCGAAACTTATCAGTAATTTGGTAGAATGGAATGTTTTTCAGGAGTGTAGGAAATTGGCGGCTTTGTAGATTTTGATGTGTTCTTATCGATTTCTATTTTGCACTTTTGTGCGTGCGCCGCTCGCGTCGCCATCTTGGAAAAATGGCGGCCAAAAACAGTTTTATTTACAATATCTCATTTCTTGAGCATTTTACGAGAAAACCGTTTACTACAAAATTAAAGTACTCACAATTTTCTACAACAGATAGGTTTTTTGTAATATAAGTAGTTTTGGCGCTAGAGCACCGCAAAGTACATGGAATGTAATGGGAAAAAAATGAGCACATCAAAATGTAAAAATTGCCGATTTTCAAAACTCCCGGAACACACCAGGTAACCCCATATTTCCTCCTTAATGATCGGATTATAAAGGGAAAGTTTTTGAAATGGATTTCCTACTAAAACAATATTAGGTATGAATTAATTTTAAACTTCTATTTGCCCTATAAATTCTAGTTTTATTTGAATACTGTTCTTATTTTGTCCATCCGTAAAATTTTTATACAAAGCATCGTCACTCATTTGTCATGTTATATGTATATTAACGCCTACTCAATTTTTATTTGTAGTTAAGGCATCTCTGTCATTTTACAAAGAATTTGTATTGACAGAACGATACTTAAACACGACATAAAATAGAGTGGTGTTTGAGTTGGACATATGACGACCTATTGAAGCATTTCAATTCGTTATGTAAAAACATTTGATTACCTTATTAAGTTTTCGTAATCAAATTACCTAGTATTTTAGAGAAAATAAAACAGACATGTTTGATAGAAAAGAAAATAAAGCATGTCTCGTGTGAGAACTTCCTATTTTGCGGTCACAAGATGGCGTAAAGTCGTCTTACGTTTAATCAACGTAAGTATCACAGATTTACTATTTTGCAAATATACTATAGTGTCTAGTGTGTTACCTATGCGGTTCATAATGTTTGGAGTATGCCATTTCGAGTCGTGTATCATAAAGATTACTGTAGTTGAATTATTGTTAGTAAGTTTTAGTAATGTATTGGCATGTTTTTGTTCTCTGTTACTAATTGTGGAAACCAGTAACTGTCTTTTTCTTGATTTTTGTTGCATGCCACATTTTTTAATCAAATCGAATAGCTGTTGGTTTTCCATACGTATAAAAAAAATATTCTGTAGGTTAAAAGACCTAAAACGACTCAATCGCCTGTACTGGCGTGAACATACCAAAATACCTAATAAAGACCATTAATTCTGAAACTATCTTAGCTCAAGTTTGTTTTACGTTCAAAGTAATCTAAACGAGACCGCGTCAATGGGGCCCATTGGTTGGCTCCAATGAACCAACCAATCAGAGCGCCGAACGCAGTCTCATTTCGATTTTCGTACTAAGTTCGGATGGAACTATTCTGTCACTCAGCGTGTCACGTACTTATAAATTATTCATAAACAGACAAAATAAGCTCTTTACAGACCATCCATAGTAAATTCAACCATATTTGAAAGGCCTACCGTCCACGACACGTCATTTGACGACAAGCAGGGAGTGAGTGACGCAACGTTGCCGCTTCGTGGACAGTTTTCGTTCTTTCCAACCAAGATGCAAGCACTTGTCACTTGTAGGTTGCATGCATTCGTCAAAAACGTGTCGTAGAGCCTAAACTTAAGGCTAAGGCTAAAGTGACAAATGAGTGTCGGCCATAGTTCTTAAGCAGCAAAACACAGGATAGTGAATATTAGAGTAGGGTGACCATGATTTTACATGAACGTGATTAGGAGGATGACACACAAACAAACAACTCCTAGCTTATTCACATACCTGTGGAACATTTTCTATGTAGGGAAGTATACATTGCCTTGGTATGCGGCATATTTTTTTAGCCTTCGGACAAGTTCGGGGCGGCTAACGGATGCCGAGTCGGTTTTGTTTCAATTTTAGAAGAACGTGTGGCTTCTATAGTTTGTTAGGGAAGTGAAATTTTGCTTTTAAGCACGAAAATGGTTTGTCAAATAATTTGGAAGAAAATCATTGATTTTAAATATGAGATATGGCTCATATTGAAGTCATTGAGCCGTTTGAAAGAAAATAAAAAATATTTATAGAAATTGACCATTTTTAATAGTCAGTGCTAGAGGGTATTGGTCTAACGATAAGGGAGAAAATCAATAATTATAGTAATATTAACTTTGATACAAATATTTTTATTTTCTTTATAAAATAATTTACAATTCATTTCTTCTCTATCTTAGCAAAAAAACAACAAAAATGGAAGCCAAACGTTTGATATCACAAAAATATCATAACAATTACACCACATGTAAAATGAATCTGCAAAAAACCGGAAACACCCTACCTAGGCAAGAGAAATTTCACCGATAGTACTTTTAGAAAAAAATTACATAATGGCGTAATTTGTTATCCTCAAAAAATTAATACACGAACCGGCTCGCACCGTACTGATAGCCGCTTAAGATGCCCGAACGAGTCGACACGTATAAAATCGCGCAAGCCGCCAATATCGCCGCATGACGTCATCAGGACACAATATCGTTAGGACGCTTGCCTCACCTTTCACAAGGTGACACGTCCGTACAACGTGCGTGTGCGGGTGGTCGATGGCCACATCGAAACCTAAGGTCTGAAGAAGTACATTCTCGTTGAATACCAGGTCCTGCGCCTGGAACAATTTAACAATATGCTTTAAAGATGGAAAAAAATAGGAGAGAAAGTACAAAGTCAAAGTTATTTATTGCAAACATAGGTCATAAATACATAATACAGGTGTAGCGTATACAGGGTGACTTGTTATAAATGTTTATTGATGTATTGACAATAAATTAAAACTAAAATCACCTAAATCAAACCAGTATTGTTTTTGTAGTTTTTCCGGGATTTTTTCACCAAAACCGAAAATGTTGAATATCTCAGACACTTTCGGACCAGGGACCTCAGAGCTATTTTTGTAGCAATTAGTTGTATTATCACCTCCCGAGAGGAATACGTCAAGTTACAAGTCATGCTGTATAATACAATCAGCAAAGTTCTTTTGTATCCATGTAAGAAAATAAAGATGACAGTAACAAAGGGTTACTTTCACTATCAGTACTGTACTGACCAATCATTTACAAAAGATTTAGCTTCGGAAGAAATTATTTTCAATATCAAAATTGTCATAAGTGTAGAATCCTATATTTTGTTTTTAAATTACACACACTAGTATTAAGTAATGTATCAGTCCTATAGCAATCCGCTAAAAGGCTAAGCCTCCGCTACATAAGAGGGGAGATTACAGTTCAAAAAGGTCAGGGTGCTTACTCTTGAAACCAATCTCAATGTCAATGGAATTTCAATCCAATAAAATCTCAATAATTATTCAATGCCAACACTACAACCACAATCGTAGCTGTTAAAATAGCATTCAGAGTCCGGAATATAAAGCCAAACTTAATACCATTTAGTTCATTCAATATCCACGCAATACGGATGCAATGGGCGCTAGCGTTGCAACTCAAGAGTACGAAAATTCACAATACCAATGTCGATCGACCGGAATTGGATTCAAGAGTAAGACCCCTGAAGGTTGCAGGTTTATGAAAAAGTGCTGCTGCCGGGCCTCTGTTACTAACCCACTCGTCGCTTTTTGTGACACATGGAGAGTAGTATGTGGTCAAAAATAATGTTTTGGTAAAACAGTTTATGTAATATTCTATTAATACAATAATGAGCAATATCTGGACTCTGGACAGTGGGCAAATAATATGAGATAGGTAATACATATAATTCTGAATTCGTATTATTTTGCCTAAGATAAGCTGTGTTATCCGACAATATTGTGATAATAGCATATTATAAAAAAATGGTATCACTGATATTTCCTTGTATTATAAAATATGACTAATCGGGGCACACAATAACAGACAGATTTAGAATAATTCTCTACGGAATAACTGAATTTAGTGTTGGATTTAACCCTTTGAGTACCGTCATTATAGACACAATTAAAGAAAGAACAATAGGTTGCATTCACCGGTGTCCTCGCGGTGTTTGACAGTTTAAATATAACTTCTTGCCCCCATCTGCAATCCCTAAAACGCTGGCAACACAGTTGTAACCATAGATGTTACGGATTAGGCGACACCGATTGCTTACCATCAGTTGAACTATTTACTCGTTTGCCGGCTTACCCCAAAAAAAAAAAATAGGCTAACTCTCTATTATATGGGACTTGCAACAGAACTGGTAAAGAAGTGTTACATTGTCCAGTGTGCAAGTGTGCCTCAGGATTCAGGGCTATGACAAATGATCCAAATAATATAACTTTGGCAAGAACCTATCAGATCTAAATAGGATCAAATGACGTCACGGCGATGCGTGTTAATCCACATTAAAGCGAGCAACGACTAGCACGGACGATTACCAGCTAAACACGAAGCGACACGCGAGGTATTGAATAACACAGGCGTGCCATATGACTAGAAAATAATTTAATATCTTTTATAATCTGGCCAGCACGCCATTCAGTTTTAAAGCGTTGTCCAACACTAGGATTTTCTCCTGTGTCGTGGGTGCGTTTACAAACATACAATTCATTTATATTCCAGACCCGGAACAAATATTCGTGGATCATATAAATAATTGTTTTGTGCAGGAACAAGTTGCACTGCCATCATGCAACTATGATCCACAGATTTTGTAAGGATAGGGATAAACAAGCAGACGGATCATCCTGATGGTAAGTGATGAGCGCCCATTGACACTTAAAACAGTCATGTACGATGTCAGGAATCAAGTCGAGTACTCGAGATACGCCTTCTTAATGACTTCTCCCGCTCGGGTGAGGCGGGAGGGATTGTCAGACTCTTACTGACTAAAAACCACCCCGTTCCTACTGGTGCACTTCGAGCCGGAGCCCCGGCAACCCGTAAAGTCCTCCGCGGCTCCGTATACGACACTAACACTAGCCTGGCACTGTCATGACATTTAGAACTCCCGATTAATTGGTCACATGTATGATTCCAGGATTTACTGAGTAGAGAAAATCATAAAATAACTTCTCCCGCTTTGGGTGCAGCCAGGAGAGAGTGACATACTTCCTAACTAAAAACCATCCCGTTTCTAGTTTGATGTAGACCCGAAGCCCCGGTAAACCCGTTAGACCATCGGCTACTCCGAGTCGGACATCAGCCCTACTGGGTTCCATCTATAGTGGCTCTTGGAGGCGCACAGTCTATTAATTTCTCAGTACACCGGTTCCTCACCGACTTGAACACCAACTCTATTATTGAAATTATTAAAACAATTGTACCTGTTCTTGATATTGTTCAGGCGTCAGGGCAGTGAGGCTTTCACCTCGGTGGAGGCAAACATGTGCCACTTTTATAACATATTCTAATTTTCTTGGCTGCTCCTCCACCTGGAAAACAATATACAAATTAATTACGTATTTACTAGAACAAATTAAAACATTAACAACTAAATAAATATGACGTCGTTTGTTATTAATATCAGGTGTTTATTAACGGGTAAACGACCTGTTAAGTGTAAAGTTTGTTTTAGAAATGTCTAGAACTCGATAGCAGCGCCACCTACATCCTAAACTATATACCGCATTTTATTGTAGTAACACTTTACTAATATCGATCGTGCTTACTAATTTTGTATTGTTATCATTAATATTTTATATGCTACTATTGTCACCTACCTCTACAACTCTGTATTTTGAACCGACTTCAAAACAAGGAGATAACGCAATTTGACTGTATCTATTCTTAAAATACTGAAAACACCCTTGTAACTTTCATACTTCTGATAGCACATCTAATAAAACTCTCATATACATATAAAGATTTACTACGACAACTATAATTATTTAAAAATCGTTACGTTGACCTTGAAAACCCACAAAAATTGTATAGTCTAGTTACCCGTCTAGTAAATCAAGGTTGTCTGCGTCTATTTGATAAATTCACGATCAACGTGGGCGTATTGACTGTAGTATTTTTTTTCTATAATAAATATAGACGTAGTACGTTTGATAAAATATCTGTTGAGGCCCTCTCTGTAGTGATTACTATGTGCGCATTGTTCACTAGTTTGGACGAGAATGTTGTTGAAACAATTAATTGTCAAATAAGAAGAATAATTTATTAATAAACTACGTTAAAAAATCTGACTTCAACTTCTGTATTTAAAGTATGTTAATTAATATACTAAAACCTTCTCCCAAATGTAACAAACACTAGTAAACTACTTCGAAAGCAGTTTGGCCGAACACGAGATATTTGCGCACATATATACATACGGGTCAAACTGAAAACCTTCTTTTTTGAAGTTGGTTAAAAATAGAGAGAGTAAATACGATCAGATACGTAGGCAGACAATATTTACACCTTAAAAAAATTGTAATAAAAATGAGATTAAGGCATCAAACAAATTTTAATATTCATTTATTTGTATTTATAATTATAATATTAGTTTAAATTTAGTCTAACTATCTTTGAAATATTTTTATTATTAACCCGTCGAGCGTCCGCGTTCCTTATGATCCAACGGGTGCACACGTGACATTTGGAGAAAGAAAGAAAGAAAATGCATTTATTTCGCCATTGGCACACGAAAACAAGGATCATTACAATAGAAATAAAAAATACAGTCAAAATAAAAACAAAACATTAATAATAGATTTTATAAAAGAGAAAGCAGCATGGAGCATTTTTTCTTATGATCCACCGAGTAATAAGGACGCTCGAGGGGTTAAACACTGAATTAATTTAGAAAACAACACATTGAAGTGTCAACCATAGCGTAGCTTAAATAAAAGTATGACAAGCCGCATGTTTTAACTTAAAACCGGCGTTCATATGATGTAAAAGAAACGTCTGTTTTAAAACATTCATGCCCTAAATACAAAGGAATTCGTCTGAGAGATCCCTAAGCAAAAATTGGAACGCGATGCTAAAATAAATTGTAAAGATTTCCGGTGTCTAAACTAAGAATCTCCGTAGCCCAGTATTGGGCCTACCACATATTAAAAAAAAAACTGCCTTGTATTGGCTAGCGCTGCTTTCGAGTCCGAAAAATAAGTTTTGAGATCGATTGGTATCTTAAAATTCTCAGTTAGCAAATCATTCAAGGATTTTTGATACTCATGTATAAAATTGAGCCCACAAATAAGCAATAGGGTTCAGCAACAGCCTGTATGTGTCCAATTGCTGGGCAAAGCACGAAGAAAGATAAAGCATTAATCGCTAATAGGCAAAATGCTCTCTTAAATGAGACTTAATAACATAACTGGTAATAGGAGTCCTTTAATATTCTGCAGCCGAACTTATAGGGACACCGTAAGGGAGTTGTAGATGTTTTTGACAAAAGGGTGTCTTTTTAATATTCGCAAGCAAATCCCATTTTAGCGACATGTTAAGGGTGTTGTAGAAGTTGTAAAGTTAAAAACATACCTTTGCGGCGAGAAACAATGCGGCTGCAGCTATTGCGTTCCTGTGGAACTGTGTGAAGGAATGGAACGCATAGAAGCGATGCATGTATACGATCGCCGTGTTGATACATAGTTGAGAGCTGTAGATAGACTGGTTAAGGAACTATTTCTTTGGTATACACATGTCATTAAAATACACATAAAAACAAATATATGAGCCATGTGCTTCAGTATTATGGACAAAACTATCTTTTTCGGTTAAAATTAACAAATCCTGAGTAAAATAAGTGTAAGTATTGATGCGTGTGTAAGTGATTTCTTTCTTCTTCGATGATTTTCTGGCTCGTTTTCTACATTTTCCAAGACATACATCATCATCCAAAATGTTAAGTCTGGTCTAAACTATCGATTTTCCAATAAAAACATCATTCAATCATCTACAGTGAAACCTGGTTAAGTGAACCATCAAGGGACCTGCAATGTCGTTTCACTTATAGAGGTATTCCACTTACCCAGTGTCTCAGATATACAGGTATAAATAAATATCTGTCTCATTTACAGAGGGTTCCATTAATAGAGGTGGACTTAGAATTACTTGTGAAATTTGTGGGTAGAATAAAAATGAGTAAACAAACAATGTTATGTCAGTTACAGAGGTTTACGCATACAAAATTTACTCGCTGTCTCAGTTGTAGAGGTAACTATGATGATAAATCGAAAGAACAAATCCCAGATATAGAGGTTTACCTCGTCCCACTAACAGAGGTAATTCAGTGCCAAAGTGTTGGGACCTCAGCATGAGTTCCAGTTATGGAGGTTTCTCACTTATCCAGGTCCCACTTAACCAAGTTTCACTGTATTTTTTCGCTCATTTTACTAAGTAGGTCATTTACTATCTTTCATACATTCTAATACAATTAACCTTCACAGAATTTTCAGTTTAGCTAGCATTTAATTTTAGTACAATCGAGTTCAAGTGACTCATGCACGAACAGGAAGCCAAAATGAGTCCAAACAAGACCGTTTTTAAGCACTTAACATGCATACATTGCAAACAGATATACAGGTAAAATTATCGAGAAACTGACGCGAATTCGATTTCGCAAACCCATTAATGGGTCCTTGGAATTTGGGCCCGTTAATTGTAAAAAAACCGGTACCACCTGGACGGCATGATTAAAGTTTCACGTACGATCGAATAAAAGGTTTTCATTGGTCAGAATTTATAGGACTACATCACACGGCTATCAATCAACCAATGATAACGCGTCAAACGATTGACGTGACGCATTAATTCCTATTTATACGGCTAGATGTCGCTACTAGTAGTACAATAGTTTGTATGGCTATCAAAACGTAGTTTTATTATTCTTGTATACGGAATGTTTGTAATTTAGCATTAAATTCAAGGTCGATAGTTAATAACATTCGTGCTATTTCTTACTCCATTGATAACTGATAACCGCATAGTACACGATTGCTTACACATACCTTTTAACTTTTATTACTACGAAGTCGCAACGTGAAGGATTATTGTTAATTCGATTACAAGCCATTTTGGTTTGAATTTGCGGAGCGAACACGGAAACAATTTTCGTGAATTTGACGGATTTTTCAGCAATTAATTTACACGATTCGTTAATTTGTACTTTCCTGGACATGGTAAAGAAGAGCTCTAAATCCTATGATTTGGTTCATGGCGACCATATTACCAAATAACTTAAGAAGCGGACTTCGGCAACATTATAATGAGGTATTGCTTTAAGTTGAATTAGTTACTTCTGACAATCAGTAAACATTTATCATAAAGTCAATAACATTCTTAAACATAATTTAAGACTATTTTAAACAAGTTTATTGGACAAGAATGAATTATTTGCTTGTTAAACATAATTATCAGACTACTGACTACAGACGAATACTGAATCAATGTCAAGGCAGCGACGCCAACCTCTTTAGAATAAGACGATGACCTTATTTCCATATTCGAAAAAAAGGCGGGAAATGAGAAAAAAATCACGTTGAATATGCATAGTTTTTTTTATACGACGGAAACTTGAGTATTATTTTGTGAAGATAATGAATTTGGTTAGATCTTGGTCTCCAATTTAGGTAGAAGCAATTTCGGCATTTTTAAAGGATACTGTTATTTTACGTAAAGCTCGCTAAGTTCCGTATGAACTAAAGATGATGCAGCTGTAAGTACTTAGCAAGTTCCACGCACAATCATGCGTTGAGTGAACGGATGCTTGCAAAAAAAGTCCGCCATCTTATTTTTTTTCACATGACCCAGTTGTAACACTTTTTCAAGTGTTAAAATTGAGGTGGGGGCAAATCTTCGCCATAAATTGCTCGGCAATATCAAAATCTGTATTTTTTGTTCAGAAAATTAGATTACAAATGGTATTAGAAGGCATATTTCAAGTTAAAAAGGTGTAAAAATAATTGCAAGGTTAAATATGAGTATTTTAACTAGAAAATGAGGCCTTGACCCTGTCGAAACGGTAGCCTCTGTAAATTCGTGTACGCACAAACCGGCGTCACCTCATGATTTAAAAATAACGAGAACTTTGCCCCGCGTCCCAACACGTGAGGTACCACGGAAATTGCCAGAATTCCTTTAAGACATTTTTAGAAGTGTATTTCGACATAAATTAGGGAAAATTTTGTCGGTAAGATTGTCAGTTTTAGGCTAAACTATCAAATTGGTTAACTCATTAGTAAGTTAGTGTGATTTCAATATCCTCAAACATACCGAACAAAAATAGCATGCAGATCTGAAATGAGCTTCTGAATTCCCCGATTCTGTTGGCGCTTCCCGCCCGCGTCAAATGCGCTCAAGAAATAGTGACGTCAAGACCACAAAACAATAAAATACGTACAAGGAACCTTCTAGAACATATACAATTGTAAGTTTAACTGATGGAAGATAACTTTCACTTAGTGAAAGTTAGACCAAACCATGAACTGACTTTCTAAAATGGGGGCAACTGTTAGGCATTTTGTTATGGGGTGTCCATTTACCTGAAGTTATATAACTACCATTTAAATAGCGTGTCTTTTAAAAATGGTTCAGTTTTGTCTTAGAAGCGTCCGCCATTTTTATTTAGTCTTTTGGACTGCATTAGAAATATTTTGCAACAATGTCTTGTATTTTTTTTAACGCAGCATAGTTACAATCATAAACCGCCTTTGCCTGGGTATTTCATACCATTGCAGATACAACAAAACCTTTTCCTTTCGATACAAAAACGTATTTGTATTGAAAAATTACCTGTTCTACCCACCTATAGTTCAGTAAACCATAACAATAACATTTTGCAAAATGGTTGAGAGACGCCATTTATGATTCACGAATATAACCACCTGTATTTGCTCGTCCTCTATTACAATTTAAGTACAACCGCCAATTTTTCAATAGATTCAACCTTACGTTATTGTTATAAGGTCGACAATCTATTGACTCATTGGAGTAAGTTGGTACATACATAAAAGAGTCAACAGGTGAAGTCGAATATACAGATGACAGCAGGTCAATCTACTCTTTTCTGTCCTTTATTGGATTTTAACCTATATCGTTTTGATACAAAGTTAAAATTCCAATGGACAATTTACAGTTTTGAGTTACTACTATCTACTTGCACTACGCACGTATTCGCTTAGCGATATGTAACGGTTGTATGTTAGTGTACGCAAATAACCGATTCGTTTGTCTAGTGATCACATACAGTATTCATGATTCTTTCTTGGACTGTAATAGGACCTGATACACACGAAAATATACTGTGGTAACAACAGAATAGAATATAATTACATGTGGCCATGTGGCACCACCTCTACTCCCCTAACGGTTTTTAACTCGTCGAGTACCGGTTTTATAGACACAATTAAAGAACAATAGTTCGCGGTCACCGGTGACCGCTTGGTGTTTGACAGTTTAAAAAGAACCTGGTAAAGTCAGTCAAAGTATTTATTTCAATTAATCCTAATTTAGGCACTTTTGAAATATCAAAAATTGAATTCGGTACTTGCCTTCATCAAAAATAAATTGTTTCGACTGTTCAATACAAAAAATATTAAAAAATAATCACACCTTCATTAATTGATTTTATGCCCAACTCAATTTTAATATTTTTCCAGCAAATCTTGTACAAAATTCATAGAAAACTGTAGTTTTTTTTATGGAATAGGAAGCAAACGAGCAGACGGATCACCTGATGGTAAGCGATCAGCGCCGCCCATGGACACCCGCAACACGAGAGAAGTCACAGGTGCGTTGCCGGCCTTTTAAAAAGGAATACACTCCTTTTTGACAGTTCGAAATGTATTGAATTTGACTAGTTGGCAAGTACCCAATTGTTCGTCCAGCCGTCTGCAAGTGAAGCTAAGTGTAAGGGAATGCTGTACACTTTTAACGGAGGCAGCTCGCTTTAATAAAATTGATTATTTTAATTAAACTAATATAATATCTGTGTCAAGCAAGGAGGTTATGCCAAACTCTTTCATATAGAGAGGACACATAGTTCAGAAGAGGACTATCAAGGAGTATTGATGATACGAAAATGGCTTAGATTGTTTTGTTTTTTTTTTATATGAAAATAAGATAATTTCTATTGATTTTTTATGTCATATGAATTTACGGGGCAGGTAACGGGTCAGTAACTCATTCATTACTTTTCTAAGCTAATTGGTTATAAGAAATAAGTACAAAAGTGCCCTATAAACATAAGAAACGGCAATTACTGCACTGATTTATAATTTCCTGGAAAAACCACAGCAAAGATGTACAACAATTATATTCTAACAAACTTCTTTACCTACAATTACTGTATAAAAGTAATATAAATATGCATTATAAAACAAGGAAATCCGTGAAACAATATACATAATATACATAAAATCATTGCACAATATAGCTAAGCATGCATATACTGTATGACTCAATATTTTTCCTGCTAAATGTTTGTCACAAATACATATAGTAGCATAAATAAATACCTATAACGAATTTATCTTGATGACTCGATGAATCATACAAGTCTGTATGCAAAGTAGGACTTCATATTTGATTGTAAAAACATAAAAATTATTTACAGTTGATATTGTTAAGTTTTACCGTTTGTGGTATTGGTGTGGTAAG